TTCTTGATCGATTTTGAGATGATCGGCTACGTTGATGAAACATGGATTTGATTAGCCATTTTGGAATATGTTCCCCTATCCTGTCTTCCAATCGGCGATCTGTTCTCCCTGAGTAACTTTCTCCGCAGTTACATGTGAATTGGTAAATACACAAATAACATGTAGCTTGTACGTGACTGACGAGAAAGCACGAAATGGTACTATCTCACAAAATATGTCTTCTTATTTCTCTATTCAAATTTATCAAAGGGAACCACTGTTTTGAATCTTCGAAATTATCATTAAAACTGATGAATTCGCTTTGTATAGGATTTTCGTGAGGAATTTGTCAGTAAAGAACTAGTAGAAATCCAAGAATATTGAATCGATTGTGATTTTCACTAGAGAATCGATTGTTAATTAATACTTATAATCCCGCCAGTAATTGAACCTTTAATCTTTAAGTTATTAGAGTAGACTACATAGAGAGAATTTACTGATATGCCTTCTGAAATCCGACATACCTAGATTTCTGAAGTCCTGAATGGATTATTAAAACTTAGATGAGTGGAGTCATAAAGTGTAATGACATAGCTTTCTAGTACTTATTGTCTTACAAACGCTCTTCTGCTAAGATCATGCTCCAATCGACACAGTAGCCGTGTTCTTGTGTCACTGAACTTTTGGGACTGGAGGCTGCAAATGAGGATGGGGGCTTTAAACTGATCTTCAGACAAACACTTCAACTGGAAGCGTTCGCATCCACGGTTAACGATGCGCACATGCTTAAGCAAATCATCGTCTTCGTTCATAATTCGCTTCAAACAGCAATAACGAGTATTAAACAATGACAAGTTGTCGCCGAAATGTAGGCTCAATGTCTGAGAATGAGCGATCTCGTGGGTTTGCAGTCAGGATCAAATTACAGTACTTGTCCAGTTCACTTGCACCCAACTTTCGAAGTAGCAGCTGAACTTTCCAAGCATCATCTAGATTGGTGAAATCAAATTTAAATAGATCTTCATAATACCGGAACCACATGTCAAAAGTAACGTTGGCAACAGGATCACAATAAAACTCAGAAATGCTATTTGCGATGCCGTCTACTGATGGTGCTGTGGTTGCATTAGATGAGCTGGGCTTTGTGGAAGGCGAAATCTTGATATCTGTCAAAGTCTGTATTAGTTTCAGCTGCTGCTTAAGTAATAATTCAAGTTTAGAAGTATCCATGTTTCCAAAACCGCCGTCACCAAATGATAGGCTTGAAAGCTATTACGAGTTCAATCTTACTCGGTAAACGGAACGAAGCAATGATACAGGGACAAGATAAGCTATTCTGATTCTATTGTCCCCGGCCCGGATAACTGTAGCAAGAAGTCTTGATAAGGAATAGAGAATGTAGGAATAGGTCGGAAGAAAGCTAGGTGCGGCCAAACCCAAACATGGCAGAAATCCATGAAGTCATTGACAAGTAGACTGAGTCATGTCGGTAGGTGTAGACTACCTGGTTGGGGTCTGCGAGAAGATAGTAATCGGTAGTTAAAGACCCTAAATGACATGGCTCAAAATCGATTGAAATGGCGCAAGTGTAATTATTCTTTGTGTTCTCTCAAATCTTAAAATTTTTAATTCCTCATCACTTTATCTTTTTAAGTTTATTTCATTAGATTCTACTTCTTGAATAATATCTTTGAACCCTAATCTTCTTCAGCACCGCTAATACTTTTACTCCTTCCACTACCATAGGGTTCGAATTGACAATTACATCTCTGTGTTAATGTGGTATGGTAACATGAACTGACGTACATACATATGTAGGAAGTCCTAAATTGCTATTGATTGATTGATTATTACACCTGTGTCAGTATAGCTTCCTACACACTTTAAGTCATTTTACTCTGCAAAGTTAGTAAGGCAAGTGCTAATAAGCGTGTGCTGTGACTGGATCAAACGTTAAGTAAGAAATTAATTGTTGAAACCAACTATATTGCTTAAATATTCTTCTTACTAATCATCAGTAGTGATTATTGTGACTTAGCAGCGTACTGCATAAGGCCCTGGAAATGTATACGATGTTAAAGTCTTGCCGTAAACACCGACGTTACAAGAGAACGAATATAGTAACCGTCAAGTCTCAACTAGAACATAACACATGATATATATATATATATAATTGAACGAAGGATTCTATTTCAATTGATACTTACTAAGTTAACAGATTTTTAGAAATTATTCACTACACACTGAATTTACATTAAAAACAAGTGGATACCGGGAAAAATACGATAGAAATCTATTCTTTTCATAAAATACATTTGTAGCACACACAAGCCATTCTACTAAGGATTGAATGAAACCTCAAAAAGTGTTGTGTTGGTTTATGGGGCCGTGAAAGTACTAAGTTTAATCTCATACAGGGTGTTTTATTTCACTTAATGACAAGTCATCATAAAAAGTAACTTGAACATTTAATAAAGCACACTATTGTTCAAGTTCCATTATTGATTACCTAGACTAAGCCTTGTAGGTAGGTGTGCAATTCTCGTTTATGACTATATATTACTTATTAGTAGTCAGAGTGCATCCCTTTTCTCTTGTATCTTATTGGTTGAGTCAATTGTAGAGAAAATGACTATGTTTTCATTGGTTGAAACATATTCCGCATTGACAGCCATTTTGAACGCGTTATATTTTCTACGTTAAACTATTTTACGAAAGAATTTTGTTGTTGTCTTATCATCTCGAATGTAAGCTTAAATTTAATTAACTACGATTTATTTTAGAAGCACATTTATACTGTTTGTATACAACTGCGACAGCCTTCTAACTCAAATAGATCACGGGCGGCATTATTCAAGTGAATTCAATCGCTATTTCAGTGGATCTAACAGTAGGTGCAGATCACCTAGTTGCTGGCTCTCAGATTATGATACCTAATGGTTGGAGATACAATGGTTGGAGATGGCTTATAATCTGATCACAATGGCTCAAACTACTTATTTACTCACGCCTGTTACGCCTAATGGAGCATAGGCCGCCGACTACAAAAATTATTATTTTCCTGGTTAGTGATTGTTTTTAGCAAGTTGATATTCTACGAGATGGGGGTCACTAACCCCATTATACCCAACCCTCCTCCTCATTTATCCGGGGCTTGGAACTAGAAGGAATCCAGGCAGAGTTTAATAATCGTCAGATGCTATTTACAAATCACACACATAATGAATTGAATACAATGTATAATAAATATTTATTTAGACATCAAAATCTAGTAGTTAGTAGTTTTATCAGTAGTATATAAATATTTCTAAGAAAAAAATAAGTACTACAATACAAATCTGAATACAAAAAGAAGAAACAAAATAAAAAGAAGTCAAATAGTAGAAATGCATTTTACACTGAGAAAAGACAAAAAAAGTTTTCTTAAGAAATTAGGGAAAAAAATCTACCAATCCCCACCCCACCTCACCTCACTCCACACATTGATTCACAGAGGCATATTCGAATGTTTTTTCCATGGATTCTTTAATGTCTTTCTTTCCAACCATTGTAAATCATGACATAAACGTGCGCGTGTTACATCCGGTTCAATAACATCATCAATATAGCCACGAGTAAGTGCTGCAAATGGATTAATGAATGTTTTCATATATTCTTCTTCAGCTTCATGTTGATTAGGTGTATTGCGAAAAATAATTTTCACAGCACCTTTTGCACCCATTACAGCAATCTGTTAAATATAGAAGTGAAAAAGCATCCTGATTGGTTGGTTAATGAATATTACTAGTAGTATTGTTAGTAGTAAATCTAGTTTAAATAAATTAATTAATAAATAGATTGTAACAGGAAAATATGGACAGACTCATTACATTACTAGTTTGAGGTTAAATGGTAGGGTAGGAGTAGGTGGACATAAACGTTATTGGTCAAGTTCTGGCTCCATTACTTAATGGAAATATATATATATATATATATATACGTACATATCCTAATGAGTTTATATACGTTGTGCTTCAGATTGTGAATACAATTTATTTCATTATTATTTATTTCTAGTGTTCTCATTCAAGTGGTAGTGTGGTGCGCGCTACTTATAAGTAGTATATGACGCGAGTGTAAACGTAATGTCTGGCAGCAGATGGGGGAAGATCAAGTGAAAGGAAGAAGAGTGGGAACACAATGGAATTTGTATGAAACGCATGAACAGTGAGTGAAATGTCAGACAATGGATTGAAGATTTGCAAATTAACGGTTACGATATGGTTTTCCTATTTTACTGAGTAACTGTGTAATTTTCGTTAAATACAATTCGGTTGACCTCACCTGTGTTCTCCTTCACTACAGTAGGTTGACCGTGTATATCGGATGCGTGCATATTGAGATTAAAACTGGACTTCCCAACATGCAGTACTTCGCATTGAACCTGACAATATATATATATATATATATATATATATATATATATATATATATATATATATATATATATATATATATATGAATCAACGAGATCCCTCCAACCAATCCACTATCTACAATCCCCAATTGGCAAGGCGGGCTTTCCCAGCTAGACGAGGCGCCCTGAACGGATTACCGAGCTACCCAGCAGTGCACTAACCAGAAGCTATTCCAACCGTCTGGCCTCCAAATGCCTTGTGCCGATACAATTGACCGGGGCCCTCAGACCCCACGTGAAGGTAAAGATCGAGTTTGTCTCACAACCTCAGCCGGAAAGTACACCCTCCCATGGGGGAAACTAGTGGTTTTTGTAACCCAGAAGTGAGTGTGCATTGCAGTTGGACTATTCAACTTAATGAATGAAAGTTTAACGATTGAAACATTCATTTCTTTAGAACACAGAAACAAATACACAATTGACATTGAATAATACTTAACATTATTTGGTAGTCTGAGTTTAAAAAAATTCATTTTTAAAATGTAAAATTCAAGTACCTAAATTATATGTTAAGACAATTCGATCATATATCCTTGTCTATAATACGAAGTATGTGATGAATTTTTAATAGTATAGATGATATGAACATGTTAAACAATAAAGTAACCAGTAAATTACGCGAGAAGTGTTTAGGGTGGCTCCCAAAGAGTGCAATAAAACCTACAGAAGATCTAAAGAAGCCGAAAAGGTTTTATCCAATCACAGACAGATAGGATTAATAAAGTATCAGCATGGAATAGAGTGATTGGATAACTGTGCAACATCACTCTGCTTACGGATTGGACGATTATAATACTCTCAAAGCAAAATCGAAAAATGTGCCCATCAGTGACTAGCTTCATGGCGAAATTCTCAGAGTTCCGGTAAGATGTGACCAGTAGAATTTAATCCTGTCAGATGTAGTCAGTAACTACCAAAGACAATGGATGAGGTTGCATATAATTCCTAAGATTGATGAAAGTTCGACGTAACACCGTTCGATGTCCAGTCCAGTGGTTCAGAAGCTAAGCATTCGCTCGTAAGACCGAAGGTCTTTGGTTCGATTCTTGTGAGTAGCAAAAGTCGTGGGTAGACACAGTTTTACTCGTCCTAACACTAAAGGTTGTATTCAGTATTCACCATATCAAGTATCAGGGTTAATGAAAAAATCACTTTAAGGTAAATCTATGTAGCAAAATCTTAGTAAACAAGTAATAACAGTTTAAAACCCGTTTGCGAAGGCGTAGGTCTAAACTTCTTAATTCGTCATCACCTTTAACCTTGTATTTTTAAGTTTATTTCACTAGATTCTACTTCTTGAATAATATCCACGAACCCTCATTCCTCGGATAACTGCTAATACCTGCTATTACCTTAACTACAATGGGATTTGAAGTCATAATTGCATTTGTCTGTGCTAATGTGGTATGGCAACATGAACTGATGTACGTACGTACGTACGCAAGTACGAAGTTCTATGTTGTTGTTGACTGACTGAATAACAGTTCCATTGTGGGGTTGTTGTGAAGATTGTTAAGTTTTATTTGTAACCATGAATTGTGGATGCGCACTGCTGATGAGCCCCATACCAGGATGAAATGGCCGTCCAGTGCTTCCAGGTTTCTAATGGTGGTCTAACATTGATCGATTCATGGTTACAAATAAAACTTAACAATCTTCACAACAACCCCGCAATGCAATTAAATGTGTCCACTAGTGACTAGCTTGGTGAGGAATCTTCTCCGAGTTCTAGTGGGAAGTCGTGACCAGTGAAGTACAAACCTGTCCGGATGTATACAGGGTATGAGGTTGCGCAACTCCGTGAATTTGATCAAGTTAGACATTAACACCGTTAGATACCGGCTCAGTGGTCCAATGGTTAGGCGTTCGCCTACAATACCGTAGGCCCTGGGTTCGAATCCTACGGGCTGCAGGGGTCGTGGATGCGCACTGCTGAGTAGTCCTATACCAGGACTTGACGGCCGTCCAGTGCTTGCAGGTTTTTAATGGTTGTCTAACATTGATCGATTCATGGTTACAAGTGAATAACAGTTCAAAAATTCTTTATCAATTATTTAAAAAAAAAAACTAACTTCAGCAGTTGGCCAAGCATAATTAATATCACCACGTAAATGTTTCGAACTCATGACACAATACGCTCCACCATATGATTTTCTAGTGATTATTGTAAGTTTTGGTACAGTTGCTTCAGCATAGGCAAAAATCAATTTTGCACCATGTCTTATAATCCCATTGCATTCTTGCATTTTACCCGGCAGAAATCCTGGTGCATCAACGAATGTAATCAATGGGATATTGAATGCATCACAGAAACGAACAAATCGTGCACTTTTCACTGATGCATTAATATCTAAACAACCAGCGGATACTTTTGGTTGATTTGCTACAATTCCAACAGTACGACCAGCTAATCGTGCTAAACCAATGATAATATTTTGTGCATAATTAGGCATAATCTCAAAGAAATCACCTTCATCAATAATATCCTAGACAATTTGAAATGATAACAACAATAAAAGAGAATAGTTATAGACAAAGTATAGTGAAATTCTGTAAGCTACTACAACACATATTATGTATATCACTAAGTAATCAATATACTCCGCCTGAGGCATTTCTAGGGTTACTGCCGGTCCCAAGCCCGGATAAAGGAGTAGGATGGTTGGGTATGGTGGGGTTAGTGTGACCTCATCACGTAGAATACCAACTCACTAGAAAAAAAAATCGCTAATCAGAAAAATAATAATTCACAGGTCGGCGACCCATTAGGGGTAATAGGCGTAAGTAAGTAAATAAGCAACTAATCAATAAATTGTTTTGATTGTTGTTACGCTCGTCTCTAGGTATGCTTAAAAAACTATTACGAGTTCACTTTAGTCGAATAACGAGAACAAAACAATGAATCAGCGTCCAGGTAGGTTACTGTGATCCGATTGACCAAATTGTACCAGTAAGAAGTCTTGATATAGCATGAAGAGTGTATTCTACAAACACCCAGCCAGCATACAATCAATCCAAGCACTCAAATTGCGTCTATTTATACTCTATAGAGACGTCCTTGGGACAGTCACAAAAATAGCACACTAAAATGACACAGTAACCAATCACAGCCAAAGATTTTCCTGGAGGG